AACTTGAGAGTTAAAGGATTAATAGTCAGCAATGACCGATAAAGCCATTCATTATAAAAAAGATTTCCATATCTTTCAAAGTAATCACAGATTAAGAAGCAACGGTGGTGCTTACTCGAAACTTCAGTAAATCATTTACGTAATCAAACGTTGTGCCACCGAAACCAAGCACTTTCATAAAATAAAAAAAATAAAAATTGAAAATAAAACAGCCTTTGTAACTTTGAGGTTAACGTTGTAATAGGAGAACAATGCACATTAACACTTTAAAAAGATGTCCAAAGCATCATTCATTTCACCGTATTCATTCATCGGGCATTCATTCATTTCACTGGAGAGAGTTCTTGACGTCTCCGAGACGTCAAGAACTTTCCGGTTGAACTATCAGATTTTCTTTTGCTTATAGAGCTCAAGTGTTTTCCTCTTTCTCTATTCTGCCTGAAATCTGCACTCCGGAGAAAAGGAAGTGGGAATCAAATTCAATTTTATTTGTCAAAGAGTTAAAAAAATGGATTTCCAAATACTCACTTATCAAGGCATGGAAGATTGCCGAGAGTAGTACTAGCTGTGTATTCCATTTTATCTGACACACACACACAACACACACACACACTGTAGCTTAGAATTAATTCTTTCTCAATAGTCCAGTGTGTTACTTTAGTAAGAACATTTTAAATAAATACAAAGGAATTCCGAGCTCCCTGAAATTAAGGAAATTTCAAAATAGTGAAGAGTATGTTCTTGCTCTCTTTTCGACATAAAAGTTTGATTGTTTTAAATTCATATTCCTCTGTAGATAATCCTCTTTTTGACGTGGTATGGCTCAGGAAAAAAGCGTGACGGTTGTGTAGCCATTATCACATGAACGTTCCTTAAAATTTCGAGATTCACCAGCGAGTCTTTGTGTGTTTCTTCTATAGTTATTCAAAAATCAATTAAATAATCTTCTACAACTATTTGGGAGCTCTTAGCAGCGAATAAAATAGTGCTGAACAATGAACAAGTGATGACAAGTCTTTTCTAACTTTCACTTCAAATGGCATAAATGAGGTGTGCAAATGGTCATTCGGTGAAATTCCATTTGATGTTCAGAGGCATCCAACAGAAAGTTATTAGTTACAAAGGACAAGAGTCACATTTGTAGAAGAATAAATTTCTCAATCATAGTAATACCAAGTAGTAACAATAATGTAATATCAGCTGTAATCAAGGCCTTTATTCGAAAAAAATTTAGTAATCATTCCTGTGGAAGACTTTATCCCAGATTTAATAACTTGTACAAAGTACGTTTTCTGAATCAGGAAATGAAAACTAAATTTTATGTGGACTTCTTAAATAAATAATTGAAAAATAATTTTAGAAACAGAAGCAGATTGATAGATAGATTTTAAAAAAACGCTTCAAAGAGCCTATTAGCTGTAAGAAAAAAGCTGTCTTCTATATATATTTTCAGATCGAAGTTATTTTTTAAAAAATTGCAAGGATACTTGAGTAACATGATCTTAACATCTAAATCTTAATAGTTTCAGTTAAATTAATTTTTAAATGTACTCATTGTGAATTTCTGTTTAAGAACAGCTAAAAATCCTCTGATTAGAAAATTGACTTTTAGCAAACAAAATTGTTACATTTTTACTTCCAGAAGTTAAAAACGGCAGTCAGTTCTACTTTGTTTTTAATAGGGTAGCTATAGGTTATACTGGAACAATTAAGCCAAACATAGCAGCACGTAGAATATACGCCAAATTTTTGATAATACTGGTTACTAGTATTAATATAAATAAATAAAATTGATGAAACACATCGTAATTTATCTTTTTATCATTATATACTTTTAGTTAGTTTATTGTACCGGAAAATATCGCTAATATTCGTCTGGGTGATAACTCGGACAGTCGAAGATCCAGGATCTTTATAAGTGACAAGTACTCAGACATATTGTATAATGTAATCTTTACTTTAAAAAACGTATTTAGTGTTTCACACACATTTACATTTTTCATTAAATATATATTATCAATTTCTGTATTATTTAATTAGCTTCGCTTGTATTCTTAACAACTCAGTCATTATAAAATGAACATGCTTATAGATTATCCACTTGGAGCAGACAATTGACATTAACTATGGACACGTCATTTCGAGCCATGATCGCGTGTTGAGAAGGAAAGTGACCACATCTCTCATCGCTTTCCCAACTTTCATCCAAAGTGTGAGAAGACTTCTTTATTGATGAACTCAACTCCATTTAACATGCAGTTGTCTCAATTTTTCGCGTGAATGTGTTGGGCAGAATAGGAACTGAAATTATTGAGCATCGCTGGCTATTAACCTTTTAATGTCTTTAATGTTTCAATGTTTTTAATGTCTTTAACTTTTTAATTGTCATGTCCGAGATTACCTCGGGCACGACACTAGTGCATAAAAAGTATCATGCCCGAGTACTATACGGGGTAATTTTTTGCGTAATTTACTATGGGTGCTGTGATCAAGAAATATCCTTTCACCCAACAGTTCCAAAGTGCCAGAAAAAAATATCATAAAAAGATATTTTTACGTTATTAAATACAGTACTCTGGAACTCACTATTACTCTATAAAAATGTAGTTGGGAAAAGTATTACATTTTAAAAATTTCGAATCCATGTTGTAAAAAAGGTTTTACATAAATATGATGAAATATCTTCAGGGAAAAAGAATCCTGGAAGACCACCTACAGTAGATATAATCTTGCCCGTCTTACTGAACGACAATTTATGTCCCATATCCCTCCTACTCTCACGAAATGTCAGCATACGTAACACTACAAAGTTTGTTGTTCAAAAAAGGATGCAAATGAAAAAAAGGAAGGAAGCACGATTCTGGTTAAATAATTGCGGAATTCATCTGTACTTGGTAAAGTGTTTCCAGTTATGCCGTACAAAACTGAATTATTAAACGACTAAGATGTGTGTTCATTTTTATTTTATTTTAATCTTTAGAAAATAATGCATCATTAGAAGTGAGCTTCATCACTGCCACGCTGTGTGAAAGACACTTCAAGCAAATATGCAGTTGCTATTAAACCTCTAAATTTTTTATGCTTGTAATTCAAAATATAAACTCCTAAGTATATTTTATTTTTTACTAAGTATTTTATTTTTGCAATAAAAAAAATTTGACAATTTATTTGCCGTAGTTATTAAAATAACTTAACAGTGGAAGGGTGAAACTCTCAATTATGACTCTAATTGGTCCAATATTTCTACTAAATTATTGATGTAACTGAAGAGTAAAATACCGAAATAGAGAGAAAAAAGGGACGCGTGATTTTTATCCTTAAAATTAAAAAAACATAAATAGCGCAAAATTAAAATAATCCAAGAATTAATTATCAATTTGATCAAGTTGATGGAATCGGATCTTGTTTGTAATATTATTTTTTGTAGCGTTTCGTAGTCAGCGATTCATTGTATCATTATTTTTATTTAATGTACAAACTAATAAATCTTATAAATCTTTTTTTAACGACGAAATTCTTTAAAACTCCATTACAAATTAACATATATATTTAAAATTTGAAAAAATTCGCTACTCGCCAAATTAAAAGATTGTTCATTAATGTCTATTGGTGATTCTGAACCATGATCCAATGAAGGAGATAACACCTGAGTTGTCATTCCGTTCTCCAAACTTTCACATAACAGCAATACAGTTCATTTGAGTGGTTGCGGTAACCTAGTGGTCAAGATAACGAACTCGTGGACGACGTATCATGAATCCTAGTGCCACTGAAGTGTAGAGGACGATGCACGTTAAATATGTCGAAGCTCAAACGTTCTCCCATTGGTGTGGTGTAAAAGTTAGCAGCGGAGGTGCCAGCTCAGGTGTCGTTGTCGTCACTTGACTATGGTTCAAAATTACGAGGTCGTCGCCAAAAGCCCTAGAGTAGCCAAATAATGTGACGTTTATATTCAATCACTCACTCACAGTGCACTAAAAGTACATTTTGAATTTCAAATTCAACAAATCCAACTTTCTAAATGAAAATATTTCTTTTTGATTCAAAAACGAAACAAAATAACCATTTTTGCAACAAAAAAAATGACGAATTATCAAAAGAAAGCAACGACGCAATAAAACACCGACACGACATTAAAATTCAAATAAAAATCCAAACCTTTCATTCGTCAATTACCACTCCATCCACCACCTGGCAGAGAGAGAGAGAGAAAAACAAATACAAATATTCACAAAATTGCTACCAACCACTCCAAACTTTTGAAAACAATTTTCTCCCTCAAAATCCTCCCTTTAAAACCGAAACATTTCTACACTAAACAAAAGGGGTGAAATTTTTCCCAAATTTCAGCCTATTTGAATTTTCAATCAGCTGAGTCGCGGCAGCCAGTGCGGCTGGCGGCCTATTTATGCATTGCGGGCGAAACAGCTTGCCGGCGGAGAAACCGTCGCGATTAATTCCTGTACGGGACGCTGAACTGATTCTGATGGACCAAAATGGCATTAAAGATTAGTTTAGGCGGATGCAATCAGCGTCGAAGATCGGCAATAAACTATGGATTTATGCCAACGAAAAATCGCTTAGCAGCCCCGTTGGGATTTGTAAGATCATCAGCAGAGGGCCTCTGCAACTAGCGGTTGAAAATTATATCGCATTCTCGGGATATATTCTGCGGGTAATGTCCATCATCATGTGAGACGTGGGAGGAATTCCCCTGCTTAATGACACCGTTGCTTATGCCTGGGCATGTTGCTGCTGCTGCGGCGGCGGCTTTGATCTTCTTAAAGTCTCGTAAGGGTTGGATGCTAAGCTGATAGATAGCGAGCTTCGAAATATTGCTTCCCGCGAATATAAAACGATGCATCCATGGGAAATATAACTTTGTATGAATTTTAGATCGCGTAAGTATGGATATATTCTTAGGCTTTTTTGATTTTTAATGTTGCTGGAATTTATGCTAAAAATATAAACTATTTATAATAGTTTATCCTTGCCATTCAGCCAGTAGGATGGCTATGACCCTCGACTTGTAATCGAGTGAGCTTGGGTTCGAATCCCGAATAAGGCATGTATGTATCTTCGGGAGAAGTCGAACTTTCGCCTGAAATGGATTCCCATCTCGAATGGAAAGCAGCGCACCCCTTCTGTTCTATGCGGGGATCATCGTTTGTGATTGTCTATGTTCTTTTGTGATTGTATTCAATGTTTTTGTTCATCTATCTCTCTTCTTTTTCATGCATCCCAGGGAAAATGCACGACAACAACAACAATACCTTATCCAGAGGCGTAACATACACCCCCGCAACCCTCGGATTGTGAGGGGACACAGGATTCTAGGGAGCCCAAAACCCGACTGACACCTAGTACGTATTTAACTATTCTTAAAATATTAAAAGCAAAACCCGACTTTTCAAGGGGGCCCCAATATTCTCCGTTACGCCACTGAGCTTTTCCTTGTTCAAGCATTGTGTCCGTGATAGCCTAGTAGTTTTGTTCGAGGCCTCGGGCCACTGAAGACCCTCAATGTAGAGGGGTTGATGTACGTTAAATCTTTCAAGGCACAAAGTCCTCCCGTTTGCATGGTATGGTAACTAGGGGAGAGGGATGCCAATTTAGGTGCCGTCCTCGTCACTTGACTGAGAGGTCCGTCGGTAGCTGAGGTGTCATAGTCATGAATTCCCGCGGCCGGCCTAGTACAAATGAAGATCCACCTTGAAGAGGAGTGAGTGACAAGGCTTCTTGGCTACAAGAGGGCTTTTAATGACGGACTTCATCATTTTGAACCTTGGTCAAGTGACACTGTGAAGAGGGGATGATGCATATTAAAACTGTCGAGGTTCAATGTTCCTCCCATTGCCATGGTGCTGAAGTTTGGAGAGGACGTGCCAACTGAAGTGTTGGCCTCGTCACTTCACCGAGGCTCAAAATTGGGAGGTCCATCACCAATAGCCTTCGTGATACTTTAAAGTGCAACCCTAAATTAACACTCACTCAATCATAACGTAATGCTTTGACTTTTCATTTACAATAGAACACACTTCCAAATGCTTTATAAAGTATTAGTTTAAGTGGTAATCCAAAAGACTTTAAAATATTTGTTGAAGATGTTATTTAAAGTCTCAGTTAAACAAAAGATATGAGAAATTGAGAAAAATATGGCAAGTTTTGAGCAAAACATTCTCAAAATGTGATTGCTTCTCAGATATAGGAAAATTTCTCTATTTTTTTGTGGTAAAATCAAAACTCCTTAATGTCATAGCTTTTAACAAAAAAAACTCCCTTAATGTCATAGTCAAAACTTTTTAACCAACATAAGTTACAGTTTTCTGATACAACAAAATAAAAATTATTTCAAAAATTCTTCAAAAAATAACAACCTGAAATAGATTAAATGAAAGTACAGCTTATATATGAAATTCTATTATGATGGTTTATAAAATCACAGTAAGATTGGGAAAACCATGGCAAAAAAGTTTAAATCCTAATTTCAAGAGAACGCGTATCGGAAGTAGACTATTTTTCATTTAATTAGGCTACAAAATTCTTACAAAAATCGAAATCAAAGAACTTAAGAACTAAATTAGATATTCATCTCGTCACTTATTATTGGCTTATAATAACAAAATTTATTATCAATACTCCTCTTGAAGTTCTGAAGTGAATCTAATTCAAATCAAATGTAGGGTTCATATTGTTAGTTTAATATACACTAAAATTAGTAACACAGAAATGAAATATAAATTAAGGTGAACACACACACAATGAACTGTAATTATTGTCACACACATTTTCATAAACTATTTTGCATGCTTTATTTTTTAACACATTTAAATTCAACTAAATTTCATTTTTATGACTTTTTCCTTATTTTATTAGTAATCTTTTGCTTTGATAAGCAAAACAACAAAATTTTATTACATCCTTATTTTACTTTTTCATTTGAAATACTTGAATACAGGCAGCTAATATAAAGCAAATGAGGCAGATTCAGTTTATTATGGATAATATTTTCATATATTAGCTAAATTTAATAACTTTTATATAAAATTGCTAATGTGATTCTTTTCCTTTTATTTTTCAACAGATTTCTCTTTTTCTGGTATCAGTCATTTGGGGAAGATAGCTGCTACTTTATCAGACTTAGGAAAAATAATTGATGGTCTCTCAAAACTCATTTTTTTTCTAGATATTTACCAAAAAATTTTATGAGTCTAACACGATGTTATAATATTTGACACTCTAGTTTCATTATCATTAAATTTCAAATGTGCGTGCTTCCATTATCATTACTATTAAAATAATGCTGTCTTCATTATCATTGATATTAATATATATACGTGTTTTATTATCATCCATATTCAAATGCATGTCGATTTCAAAATAATAAATGGCACATAAACGAAATGAAAATACGATAGTTGATCAGAAAAAAAGGTTACAAGTAGAATAAAAAAAATATTTATTAACAATAGACAGAAAATACGAAAAGGAATTAAGAGGCATACGTGCCTATCACATTTCGACATAATCACCAAGTCTATTTAGGTATTTATCAGAACACAGAGCCAACTTGCTTAACCCGTCTTGGTAGAAATCAGGCCCCTGTCCATTGAGCCAGGTATCGGCGGATGATCCCAACTCTAACAAGATTTCACGCAGAGTTACTCGTCGATCATTTTGAATCATTTCTCCCCCCAATTCTTGCCGTGGGGATTTCTGTTATTGAAGAACTTGACCAGCCGCTCTCTGTCATATTGAGGCTTTCGACATCCTGTCTGCATGATTGAAAAGAGTGACACAATTTCGCTACATATTGTCTGATCATTGCAGATGCGGATACATTCTTTGCCCATAAAAATTGAATCACGTCTCGCACTTCCAAACGAGACCAATTTCTTTTAAGAGTTACCATTTCGATCATCCTGGACTATCTGAGAACTTTCACTACCTACTCGCAAACCAGCTGTATGAGAATTAACGCCATTTGTCTCCACTCTGGAGAAACAAAATTTCTCAACAATATGTAGTTTTCAAATGCTGAGGCTTGTAAGCTTTTTTTCTGATCATCCCTCGTATATTTCTGACAAGTACTATTAATACGTTCTTTAAAGCCTATGTAAGAATCTTTATTTCTTAATACAAGTAAAGAAATCAAAAATAATAATTTTTTTTCTTTATATTAAATCTCAAAAAATACAATATTCCTCTTCTTTTTAAGAATTTATGTTTAAAGAAGAAGGAGTAGTTATTTTTACAAACTCGAAAAATCCCCATACAAGCAGATTTTAATTCTATAATGGCCTTTTCTCTTCCCAGTTCTGCTTTCGTTTTAATAGTATCCAGGAAAACAAATAATTTTTTAAAGTATTCATTGTGTATTCCACAAAATGTATAATGAATCGAATGTTTATTACCGTAAAACAAAGACGCAACGCGGGGTATAATAGTGACGAACCTCGTAATTTTGAAGCACTGTCAACTGACAAGGACATCATCTGATAAGACCCCCCCAACATAAGGACTTTAAATTTCCGCAGATTTAACTTGCATCTTTTCCCTCACACGACTGGGCTTTTGTGTCAACAAGACTCAACAGGAATTACATCGGCCATGAGTGGGCGATTATGACCACTCGATTACCTCGATCGCATGGTAATAATAAAAAAAGGGGGTTTTTTTTAAATCTACCGTATTTTTACTCGAATCTAAGCAGCCATCGATTCTAAGCGGTATCCCAAATTCTCAACATATTTTTGTGAAGAAATGTTATCATCGACTCTAAGCCACAACAACAGGTTTTATTTTGAGAAAAAAATAAAAGAGTACGTAAAAGAATCATTAATATACGATACTTAGATATTTTTTTTAAAAAAAAATTTAATGAGAAATAATAAGCAGTTAATAATTCATTTATTACCAGTATTAAAATACTTCAAATACGTATATGAACCTATAATTACTCTATCTGACAGTATCATGTTTCAAAAATGATTCGTCACTCCCAGTGCAATAAGTGACTTCGGACTTGGTCGCAATTTTCCCATACGGTGCATCCAATGTATTTGTTATGAAACATTTTTAAGGAATGGTGTATAGAAGAATTTAAAAGAATTATTAAAGATTATTAAACATTTACAAGCAAAAATTATATCATTTTGTTTATGCCATCGGCGTATATTTGTTTCATCCATGTCAAATTTTCAGTAGCCATTACTCTGTTTTCGTTTCTTTCTGCATATAAAATCGCTTCTCTTTCATACTTGCGTCATAGTGAACTCGTATTGAGCTAATTTAACGATATCTTTGATGTTTAAGTGATTAAAAGAAAGTGTATACAGAAAAATTTCCAAAATACGAGCAGACAATGATGTTTAGGACATACTGAGTACTGAAGATAAACTGCGAAATGGGATAAGTCATCAATCCAAATGGAAAGAATGGACAGCTACATTTTTCTTTTTAAAAGGGGTGGAAACTCAATTTTCTCCATCCAACAAATATTTTGCCTTTGATTCTAAGCCATGCCCGATTTTCAGTAGCATTAACACTGGAAAAATAGTGTGCAGCTTAGATTCGAGTAAATATGGTATATATATAAACAAGAAAAACGTCTCATTCACTCACTCATCATGATATCTCCGCAACTATTAGACCTACAGACTTTTGAAACTTGGTAGGCATGTTCCTTTCATGGAGTAGACATCCTCTAAGAACGGAATTTGCAAACATCGACTGCGAAGGAGCATTGAGAGGGCTTAAGAGGCATTGCAGATAAATATTCCCGTGTTTGAACTATTAGGACCGCGAGCTAGGCAAGGTCGACTCAGCCTTTTATCCCTTCAGTGGGTTGATAAATAAGTACCAATCTTGCTTGGGGGACAAAACACTAGGGGTTTCGAGTCAAACTAACTGGAACATTTTCTCATGCAAATCAGTGCCTAAGGTCACGAAAACTGAGATGAGTTTAGAAGGTTTGGCCCTTGAAGGCTGTTGTGCCACTGGGTTTAGTTTAGTTAAAGTATTAAACGTACAGGCTTGCAATTTGGTAGGCTCGTCAATTTTATGCAG